AAAATATCCAACTTGGCTTGCTAATGTCGTTGTAGTGCAGAAAAAGAAGGGACATCAGAAAGGCAAAAAACCTAAGTGGAGAGTATGCGTCGACTTCACTGATTTAAACAAAGCATGCCCGAAAGACATGTTTCCAATGCCTCACATCAATGTGCTCGCGGACGCCACAGCGGGACATGAAATACTGACATTCATGGACGCTTTTAGTGGCTATCACCAAATCCAACTGCACCCCGACGACCAGGAGAAAACCGCATTCATTACAGAGACAGGTACGTACTGTTATGTTGTTATGCCTTTTGGTTTGAAAAATGCAGGAGCTACCTTCCAAAGGTTGGTGACAATGATATTCAAAGATCAAATCGGGAGAACTATGGAGGTATACATCGACGACATGTTGGTTAAATCCAAAAAAGCGTCAGACCACGTCGAACACCTGCGGGAGTCATTCCTGAAGTTACGAGAATACAACCTGAAGCTTAACCCAGCCAAGTGCACGTTCGGGGTGTCGTCGGGAAAATTCATGGGTTACATTGTCAGCGAAAGAGGAATAGAAGCTAGTCTAGGACAAGTTCGAGCCATACTAGAGATTGAATCCCCAAAGTCAATCAAAGATGTTCAAAAACTGGCAGGACGAGTTGCGGCACTCAATAGATTCATATCAAAGTCGTCAGACAGGTGTCGACTTTTCTATGATGTCCTCAGAAAAAATAAAAAGTTCGAATGGACAGAACAGCACGAAAAAGCCCTACAACAACTGAAGGAATACATGACAACACCGCCACTACTGACAAAACCCAAAGATGGCGATGAGTTACAGTTGTATCTTGCAGTATCAGAACATGCCGTCAGTGCAGTACTAACGCGGGAAGAAGACGGCCAACAGACGCCAGTTTACTATATGAGTAAGTCGTTAAATGGGCCGGAAACCAGGTACGCACTCTTAGAGAAATTAGTACTTGCACTAGTGATAGCATCAATTAAATTACGTCCTTACTTTGAATCGCATTCTATTTGTGTCCGCACTAACTATCCCATGAAGTCTATCATGAGGAAACCGGAACTCACAGGTAGGATGATCAAGTGGTCGATGCAACTGGGGGCATACGACATCAAGTATGAACCCAGGACAGCTTTGAAATCGCAAGCTCTAGCTGATTTTATGGCGGACTTCAGTCCAAAACTACAAGTAAAAGCAGAAAGAGAGATATGTTTGTTAATTGGAGACCAGCGTCAACAAAAATGGACTCTGCACACCGATGGAGCCTCTAACATGCATGGGGCCGGACTTGGAGTTGTACTGCAGTCACCACAAGGGGGCACCATACTACAAGCTGTCCGGTGTGATTTCAACGCAACAAACAACGAAGCCGAGTACGAGGCATTGATTTTCGGACTGAACCTAGCCAGAAACTTGGGCATAAGGTTAATTGAGGTAAAATGCGACTCCCTTTTAATTGTTAATCAAACTAACGGAATCTATGCAGTTAAGGATCCAAAGATGACGACATACCTGCAAATCGTCACCAAGTTGAGCAGCCACTTCGACAACATTACCTTTGATCAAGTCCCAAGGGAAGAAAACGTCCAAGCTGATGCATTAGCAGCATTCGGATCATGCTTGGGGGCAGAAAACAATGACAACATACCATTCGTTCACTTGACTGAACCGGCAATCATAAAGACGGAAATCGTCAACACCGTCGAATCCGCTACTGAATGCAATTGGATGCAGCCGTATGTAGATTATCTCAAACACAATATTCTCCCAGCGGACAAAAGAGAGGCAAGAGCGCTCCTATCAAAGGTAACAAAGTTTTTATTAATTGATGATGTTTTGTTTAAACGTTCGAAGGCAGGACCATATCAGAGATGTTTAGCCCCACACGAAGCTGTCAAAGTACTGAGAAGTCTCCATGAAGGAGAATGTGGCAACCACGCAACAGGAAGGAGTTTATCAAACAAAGCCTTGAGATTTGGCTATTATTGGCCAACGATGAGACATGACGCCATTGCATACACTCAAGCTTGTCAACCGTGCCAAAAGCATGCACCAGTACAACACCAACATGCAGAAGCACTGCATCCTGTCTTGTCTCCATGGCCCTTCATGAAGTGGGGGATGGACATTGTAGGTAAGCTGCCCGAAGCACCCGGACAGAAGATCTACATGTTGGCAATGACTGACTACTTCTCAAAGTGGATTGAAGCTGAACCTTTCCGACAAATCCGTGACACTCAGGTAATATCTTTTATCAAAAGAAATATTTTGAGCAGGTTTGGTATCCCGTCAGAGATCGTCTGCGACAATGGGTCACAGTTCATCAGCATCAAAACCAGACGATTCTGTGAGAAGTACAACATCAAACTGGAGATGTCGACACCACGCTATCCACAATCAAATGGACAAGCTGAGTCAAGCAACAAGATCATCATCTCGAATCTAAAGAAGCGGTTGGAGAAAGAACAAGGAAAGTGGGCCGACGAGTTACCACTCATATTATGGGCAGACCGGACAACACCAAAAAATGCCACAGGACAAACGCCTTTTTCGTTGGTCTACGGATGCGAAGCTGTCATTCCAGTCGAAGTCGAAGTGCCAACATCCAGGTACGGACTTATCACAGAAGAAGCAAACAACGCAGAATTGGTTCATGATCTTGATACTATCGACGAATTGAGAGAAAGAGCTAAAGTACAAATGGCAGCCTACCAACAAAGGGTAGCAAGAAGCTATAACAAAGATGTCCGAGCCAAAGTATTCAGGAAAGGCGATTGGGTACTCAGAAAGTCCTTTGGCAACGAAGCAAGTGGAAAATTCAGTCCCAACTGGGAAGGCCCATACCAGATTACAGATGTCGTCGGGCAGGGGGCATACCGTCTGACAAGCGTTGACGGTAAACAAGTTCTAAGGAGCTGGAATGCGGTACACCTAAAGCCTTTCCACTTCTAATATAATTATCTACTTAAGTATTCATCTTATGCTTTTTGGATCTCTTGCTAACTTGACCGTCGGAGGGCCGTTGGCCTCAATCCAACGGCCAACAAAGTATTTGACTGAGTCACAGATTGACAACATCAAGCTAAATCCTATATGACAATATCATATAGACTTCTGATGACGACATTAAGTCAGCTGAATTAAGGTACTCGACAATAGTTTGCTCTTATTTTATTTCAATGTCATCTTAATCTACTCACCCGCCTTGACAAGTGAAAATACATCTGACTCCTTAGAGATAATACACACCTACAATCAATGTAAAAGCATTAGACTATTTTACTAACTTTAGCATCGGAGGGCCGTTGGCTTCAAGCCAACGGCCAGGCCCCAGCTACGTGTCTGATTAGGTTACAGACTGAAGGCGTCAAACCATTTACTGATAGACAACATGAAACTGAGTGATGAATGACGACATCAAACTGAAAGTTAGACGACGACATCATCTAACTTCAAGTCAACCGAGATCGCCTAATCAGAACAGGAAAGTAAATAAAGAAGCAAAGGATCAGGACACTATCAGGGTATGCAACAGCAATTTACTCATCCCTCACTTTAATATTTTGTTCATTTATTCACTTTGACAAGTGCAAAATTACTTTTGAAACATTAAGTTGAAATGACGTGAATTTGACTAAGTAGTTTCGCAATGTTGAAGACTAATTTTTTATACATACCTATTCACAATTACTGACTTTAGCATCGGAGGGCCGTTGGCTTCAAGCCAACGGCCAGATCCTGACAACATGATTAAGTGCAGGCTTAAGCATAAGGACAACACTAATGGTTGAAAACATCAATCAAGCCACGTAAGTTTCTCATAACACAAGCCCTTAAATACGTCACTAAGGGACATCAGGGATTGCATGGACTCGTCATATGAAAAATATGAGTACCGAATCCATACACCCTGCACATTTTGGCCAAAACAACAGACAGATCATACATCACAAATGCTGACAACACCAAAGTCAGACAAACACAAAGCAACAATAGTACACGTACAAATGACAGCGTCATGTGGAACAACAACCACATTCAAAACGACAACAATACGCAACAGAAGTGTGACGACATTAGCTCCAAAACATAAGGAGACACTACGAACGACATAAACACTCATGTTGACAATATTGATAAAATTACAAACGAAACGTTATTCAAAGTTTTTGCAGGTTATGGACTATGTTCACACAACACAACTCGTCATCTTTAACGACGGGTGATGTTCCCTTTGCCAGCTGAGGTGTCGACATTGACATGATGCTGTTACAAATTTCTGTCATCTAATCGTCAGCACAATGCTGGAGGGAAAGCATTTAAGTTAGACAAGTTGATCAATATGTGACGATGCAATGAACTAAGATGCGAAGTGTACTTTCAAATTTTCGACAAGTTGTTGCTGAACAAGTCGACGGACGTGTGCATCATTCGCCTCAACTTCTCGAAAAGGGGGCAATTGTTGGTACACGGATTTCATGGCCTGGACTACATTCAAAAATGGTTGACCGTGGCAATCAATGACGCATTCATTAAGATTAATGCTAGCTAATTAAATCTGGGCAGTTTTATGTATGTAATTAGAGTAGTTATTGTAATTATGACATAGGCTACTCAAAGGGCTGACCAGAATTGATGATGCAATAATGACGATATTGATGTCGTCGTAACGGTCGGACATGTCGTCGTAACGGTCGGAACATGTCGTCAACGGACAAAAGTGCATTAAATGTATCTCTTATAAATATCTAGAGGCTCTATGTAATCAGCACATTCAGACACGAATACACATACACTCAGGCCTTACTTTGTAATTCAAAAGCATATTGCGAAGATCCTTCTTCTTGATCATCATCTATCAAATTCCTTTCTTTACCAATTCTTCCATAGTTGATTCTATATTGCTTGATTCCCATTTTTTACTCCGTTCTAGGATAAATTATTTCTTGTTTAAACAACATCTTAATCCATACATCCATACATGACTTAATAGGGGGGGGGGATAAACAACCCATTAGTGGTTATTTCTATGTATCAAAGATATTACTCAATCTACTTCATTCAATAATAGGAAAAGCTAGATGAGAAATTGGGTTCGTACAACTAATTCAGGTCGCATTTACACATTTTACAAACGGAATGATACATACATAGTTTATGAGCATTTCAGGAGGGGACATTGAAATGGAAGAGCCATGAAATGACAAAGGCGAAGACCATGCAAGCTAGCAAGAAGTTGAGGAAACGATGACCTTGCCAGAAGCGTCGAGGAGTCTCTACGCGGGTTGCAGCGGCTGCCCTAGCTATTGCTGCCCGAACAGCAATATCCGACTCACTCCACAAATCAATTGGCTCCATCACATTCGTGTAGACGACATTTGAGGCTATTGATCCACAAATCTCACAAGTCCTAACATGTAATTCATAATGATAGCATTTATAGAGAAAATGCATAAATAAACCAATGAATCAATGATTAGCAATTTTACAGGACAATTTGAGGAAAAACTAATTCGACAACAATGCAAGAAATATAACTGATACGCATCCTCCCCATCAGTGAATCCAAAAAATCTGGTTGAATTACATTGAAGAGTAATTACTAAATAAACAATAGCGGGATGGGCTAAATGAGACAAATGGAAAATATGGTTGGAAAATGTGTTAATAAATTGCATTAAATGGTCATTTTGGGGCAATATTTTGAGTGGGGTCCACTTCCGATTTGGGCCGGGTCAAAGTGGTTTCGAATTGCCCTTGTTAAGGGCTACAATTCGATATGTGGTACACTCAAAACGGATAACGTGTGAATGAGATATTGATTCTCGAAGTTCACTTGTTGAAATAAACAAAATAGGAAAATATGGGTTTCTAGTGTGGTTTTTTTCCCACACCGGAAAACCCAATGGACTTTGAACCCCTTATAAAGGGAAGCCTATTCCAAGGAGTTAATATTATTATGTGGAAAGGCTTTCTTTGCGCGCAGGGGGGGTGCGAATCAAATCTCGAAATCGGAAAACAAAAAACAAGACTTGCATGCGCGAGCGACATGTAGGTTTTGGATCGTATTATTCCTTCTAATGATGATGCCTCAAATATTATTCCCTCTAAATATTTATTGTTCAACTCATTCCCGAAGCCGATGCCAAAGCTTTGTGGCATCATCTTGATGCTATCGAGTTCCAATGGATTTATGGGACGGTTCCCCACGATCTCCTTCATACTATTATTGAACAAGATACTACCGCTCAACAGGCCTAGGACCGGCTTGCTGATATTTTTCAAGATAATCGCAACCCTAGTGTGGTTCATCTGGAAAATCAGTTCTCCAATACCCGCTTGGAAAACTTTCCCAATGTTGTCGCCTACTGCAAGGCTCTCAAAATTCTCTATAACCAACTTGCTAACATTGGTTATCTAGTCTCCAACCATCATTTCATTCTCTGATTGGTGAATCGTCTTCCAAAGCAATAAGATACAGTGGCATCCATCATCTAGCAATGTGACCTGTTACCCTTTTACAAAGCTCGCTCCAAGGTCACATTTGTAGAAACTCGCAAAGCTTTACAAATCGGCTTTTCCGACACTGCCTTAAGTCACCATGGACCCCCATCACCTGGTTTCTCTCTTTCCAATCGCTCCTCCCGTGGTCGTGGTCAGGCGGTCGACACCCAAGGTGCATATGTCCTAGCCATCCCGTCTGGCTCATTTCTATGGCCCATACCACCCAAGCATACTAGGCCCTAGCCCCTTGGGCAGCTCATCCTTGCCGTACTTATTCAGCTGGGATACTTGGTCCTCATTCTCAGCAAGCCCATGTTGTCATTAGTAGCCAGCCTTACAGAGCTTGGTTTGGTGATGAACATCGTGTTCCTAACCCCTACCGGACGATACTTGGTACATGGATTTGGGAGCCACTTCACACATGACGTCCCAAAAAGATATTTTGTTGTCCTATTTTAATAATAGCTCTCAACATCGTATCGTTGTTGGAAAAGGTACTATGGGTCACCACTACTATGTAATTTTTTTGGATGATTTCTCACGTTTTCTATGGATTTATCCTATTCATATTAAATTTCAGATCTTCTCTTTATTTGTTGAGTTTCATACATACATTAAAACTTGATTAGATGACCAATCTTTCTTTAACTTTGGTATTAAAAATGGTTTATATTTCCTCTTGATACACATCATGTAATAGTAGCCTTGGTGACAGGACAAAGAAGCTCAAGGGAGTTTAACATGCTTGCCCGTTTGACAAGAGGTACCAAATGAGCTAACAATTTTATTACACTGAATGACATTTTTTGTTATAAGTATACTAAAATTGGATCGCTTGGATGTGAAAGATAATTGTGCCATATAGTGTTGAAGACTGCCAAAAAACTGGATGAACCAGGAGATCAATAGTGGACATTGGACGTGATAGGGTACAGGTCACCCAAACTATCACGTTGAATAAATGTTGCCCCCGTGCAGAGTTTCTTCACTGAATAACCAAACGGGTCAAACTCAATAGAAACATTATTATTGTCAGTTGTGAGACGACGACGGACAAGTAAATTTTTAACAATGTGAAGAGCATGTATGAAATAAATGTAAGAATGAGTGAGGATGTGATGTTGAGACCTATAATTAAATAAGACATAAGAATACCTTTGTCGAACGTCATGTGAGACGTGGCTCCCGAATCCATGTACGAAGTATTGTCCAACAAGGTAAGGGACATAGTGCTCATGGTTGAACCAGTGCAAAATAGTGCCAAAGTCTGATAGCTATTATGGCTTATCAGGTTTTGAAAAAGAAAAAATAGTTCGAAGCTACGGGTCTGTTTACTAATAGAGATATTCAGAAAAATGGAAAACTGGAAAAAGGAAAACATAAAACGTGTTTACCAAAGAAAATTGTTGAAAAGCTGGAGAAAGGAAAACAGAGAAATGTGTTTACCAAATCGTTTTCCAAAACCAAAAAAAATGAGATGTCTCAGTTTTCTTTAATGAATTGGACAAGTGACTTTTACTAGTTTTTCCAAATTTGGAAAACGCAGATGCTGCAGTGTCGCTGCAATGAATTTGCATACTTAAGCCTAGTGGCGGATACGGTCCCACTCCAGCAGTCCTTGTCAGACTGGTCGACGACCGAGCAATCCCGGTCCGGTCCGGTCGACGACACGACGGTCCTTGTCCAGTCAGATCGACGACCCGGCAGTCCTTGTGTGGTCATGTCCACGACCTGGCAGCCCCTTTCTGGCCCGACCCACGACCCATCGGCCTTTGTTCTATCCGATCGATGACCGGACGATCCCGGTCTGGTCTGATCGATGACTTGACGATCCCGGTCCACGACCCGAAGGTCCTTGTTCGGTCCGATCGATGACCCGATACTCCCTGTTCGGTCCGATCCACGACCACACGGTACCTGTTCGTTCCGGTCGACGGCCAGGCAATCCCGTTCAGATATGGTCTGGTCAATGACTAGGCAGCCCCCGTCCGGTTTTTTCAACTACTCGGCGGTCTCCGTCCTGCCCGGTCAACCGCCCATCAATCCCATCTTATCTGATCAACGACCCGTTGGTCCCTATCTTGTCTGGCCAATGATCCAACGGTCTGTGTTAGGTCTGATCGACAATCAGGTGGTCCCAGACCAGTCCCATCAATGACCAGACGGTCCTTGTTTAGGCCGGTCAATGACCTGGTGGTTCAGTCTCGGTTTTTTGAAATCATTTTTAAAGTGAAGAGTTTTAAAAGAGCCGTTGAATTGTCAACCAATAGGTTAATGAGAAAAGAATTCGTCAAACTGACCACTGAGATCGATCGGGACCAACCAGTTTTGATCCCGACTTTCCTATACGTGGGACGTGGTATACTAGGGTTGTACTAGGTTTGGCTCCGGACTGGTATCGGACCTTCGGATTTCTGGTCGGTCACAGAACCAGGTGAAAATATTTGATGAACATGTTTTCATATTTGAAAATGGAAAACTAAAAAATGAAAACAGAGAATTGGAGATAGAAAAACAGGAAAAAGAAACTAGAAAATTTGAGAACGGAAAAAGGAAATAGAAAACTGGAAAACTGGAAAATATCTCTAGCTGATTTTTATTTTTGCAAAGAAATGTCCCGTTTACCCTCTATTTTTGTATTTCTTTATTAAAAAAGTATACACAATATACTTTTAGCTAATTACACATGTAATAACTCATTCGACTCAATTAAATTATGATCCAGGAGTAGAGTTAGGACACTAGACTTGTATAAATAATATTTTTTGGGAAAAATTTCTCTCGAATTGTTTTATCATAAAAATTAAATCATTTTTAAAATTTTAGGTGAATCATGTCCTAGATTGACCTCTTAGATCCGTCCATGAAATTACCAAAAACTTTTTGTTCAATCATTTCAGCTCATTGACATATGAGCTGATTAAGCTTAGTCAACATCAGAGAGCCCGAATTAAATTTGTTTTGGAGAATTAAACGAGTAGGATTAATTTTTCATCACATTTCACATCATTAACGGATTGTTTTCCCTTATTAAAGCTTCCACTGAACAATCCTTTTCTTTTGGAGTTTTGGCAGTATCAAATCCTTTTCACATGAACTAAAAAGAACTAGCTTTTGAGAATGATGAAAATAGATACTTCCCTCATTCCCTATAATTGTCCCATTTTACTTATTTTGGATGTCCTCCTATTAATGTCACATACAATATTTGGTAATATTTGTGTGTCTATAATTCATTCTTATTTTATTCTCATTTTATCAACTCATTATCAACTACACAATTCTACTTTTCTTAAAAAGCACGTCATTCCTTTCCGTCCCAATAATAGAGGGACGGACAGAGTACTACAGATATTTTAAGTTCCGTTTAATCAGCCATCTTTTAGTTATGAGCCGGTCCCCATGACCCCATGATCCATCTCATCACCCAGCTATTTTTTTTCCTGAAAGACCTAAATTTAATACGGAGTATGTAATATTATTTCAAATAAAGAGTCCATAATTTCAATCAAACTTATTTCTATTATTATAAGGAGTACTCCGTATAATAATTGAACCTACAAAATTAAAATTAGGGTGTTTGATTAATAAAAAAATACTCCTACTTATTAAAAATCTATGTCAAAAAATAGTTATCAAACCATAATCATGATTCTTCTATCTTTAAATCTTACGCTTGTTTCGAGATAGGATAAGGTATAATCAATAATGGATAATTTGTACTCATTCCGTCCCTAATTTTTCTTCTTAATTGGGTATTGTGTGGGGGAAATCGTGTAGAAAAGAGAGATGTGGATCAGAAATGCGGTGAATCACAAACTTTTTTACCACAAAGGGAAAATTAAAATTTGATGGGAAAGTTCCGAAATAAGACTAAAACAGTTTGAAAATTCCAAAGTATGATTGTTGAAGTCTGATACTGTCAAAACATGGCAATGATTAGTCTTATTTTGGAAATAAAAACATGACAGTCTTATTTTAGAATTTTCGAACCTTTAAGTCCTATTTCGGGCAATATTTCAAATTTCATTGAGACCAACGAAAAAAGAAAGTTGATTTTAGTTGAAAGTTCTAGTGTATGAAAAAAATGATACAAAAATTGATTTTACCCTTCAAGGCAAAACACCTGAAATTTCCAAACAGGGAAAAATGAAATTGAAGGTTACCAAAACAAGAATATCTAACCAAGAAAATCATAAACATACCATCATTGTATTATACTACTATATGTATGAGATGAATTACCTGTTTCCCTTGATCTTGAACCAAGCCTCTGCACAGTGCTTATGGGCAGCAGCCAAATCATTCTTACAAGAACAGCCCAGTTCAAAAACCACCCCTGATTCTTGACTCTCCAAATCTATGCTCAAATGGCAGATTCTGCAATCCTTCTTAGAATGCAATTTTGCTTCCTCTTTCGGCGGAGCTTCCAGATCCACCTCCACAAAACATTCCGACGACCCAGACGAAATCCTCCTTTCCTGGAGCTTCTCGGCGTCTAATGAGCATGAACTGCTACCACAGCCACCGTGAACGCCGCCGCTCACGGCGCTGGAATGGCAGCCGCAGCCGTTTGTGCAATTCTCAGCCTCTGAATCAACATGGGGCCGGTGTAAAGATTGCATTTTTAGAGACCAAGATTGGGAATCCGCAGAAAAGTGCAGATTTTTTCTTCTCGGGAATCATATAAATAAATCCATCTGGCTGATCTCACTCTCTCTCTCGCGGAATAATATAGGAGGAGAGTAACAGAGGAGCTTACGTTGCAGGAAGATTTTGTCAATTCGTTTCGAAACAGCAGCAGCTGAAAATCTCAGATTCTTTGGCAGATATATACGGAGCATTTAGATAAAGTTTTGACTAGAGTTGAATACGATGTGGCACTATTTAATCTTTAATATTAATACATAATAAATGCCTTTAAACAGGAGGGTTTTTTTTTTTTGAAGAGATAGAGCCATAGAGGAGGGTTACCATTAGAAATAATTACATAATTATTATGATTAGAATAAAAGTTATTTATAAAAATAATTTTTTTTTACAGATTATAGTAGTAATTTAGTCATAGTTTATGTTAAAATCTTTTATTATAGTGGTCGTGGCACTATACTATATTGCTGCGTAACTAATACTCCGTAACACATTTTTTAAAAATGTTTTATTTCATTAATGTATTTAGAGAAATGTCTAATAATTATAAATAATGAGGTATACATGACAAAAATAAAGATGATAGATAAAAAATTGAGTTTCTCGTATAAACCGTGAAAATTGATTATATTAATAATTTTAGTGATTAATGATTATATTCAATTTCACATTGTAGGGACAATAAAGTATTACTTTTGGTATGCCCTTCCAAATTCATTTCAATTATATTATAAGAAAACCCATCTATACAACCTTTTTTAGAGGGCCCACCTATACAATCATATTATACTTTATATTTTGCATTTTCAATTTTAACAACTTTATAATATATTTGTGTTTATCCTTTTATACCTTTTGTCTTTCTCTACGACACTAATCACTATCAGTCTATCACATATTTCTAGTTCATGCAATCATGCTAACATGGTGGCTCATGAAAGAAAACCAATCTTATAGTGCTAACACTAATTTGTATGACGTGTTACATTTATATTTTTGTTCTGGGGATGTGTGAGACGATTTATATTTTTTAACACAATAAACTTTTGCCTAAATTTAAATTTATTATAAATAAATACGAAGAATAAATAATAAATTTTGTATGGGAAGAACATCATCAATAATAATAGTAACATTAGTAATAACAATAATAACGATGATGATGAACAATAATAACGATGATGATGATGATGATGAGCACTCCGTATAATATTGAAATGGGGACTAATTACCCGCACTGTAGCACTGATACGGGTACGCGGAAACGCGGAAACGTGGAAACGGGTACGGGAATACAATTATACGACAAAACCAAAAAAGGTAGGATACAGATACCGGGTCATATTTATAAATAGTAAAAGTTATGGGGTGTATTTGTAAATATTAACAATTATAGGGGTATGTATTTATAAATAGTAAAAAAATACAATTTTTGTTTTGAAAAAATACACATATATTATCCTCCGACGTCCCCCCATCCCCCCATTCATGGCATCGAAGCATTTTACATTTTCAAATTACTTATATTTAAATTCATATTTTATCTCATATACACTAGTGCATCTCGAAATATAAATATAGTCAATAAGTCATTAATTTAAAATAAAAATAAGTCAAACAACTACAGTTTCGAAATTAAAAGTGCAAGTGCTCAAAATTCTAGAATAATGAAGATAGAAAACAATATTTTAAAAGTTCGAATATATATTTCCGTTGGAGCTATTAATTTCCATGGATAATTAAAATTGGGGATAGGAGGATGAGAGAATTAGGAATAAACCTATTAGTTGTGTCCCACATAAAAGCAAGGTAAAAATTATTTCTAGCTTTTCATTTTTAAATATTCTATTATGTGAATTTTGAGTGTTTTTTAAAGTTTTTTTAAAGACTTTTTTTTAAAAAGTTATACGTGTATCCGTCAGGATACGAGTATCCGAAATTTTAAAATAAATACCAAAAAAATGGAAACTTTTAAAAATTACAGATACAGTCCGGGAATGTACGGTACGGGTATCCTAGAGTATCGGATACGGTACCCTATCTAGTGAAGTATCTGTGCTTCGTAGCGGCCGCACGGGTAGCTCAGTTGTTAGTTGGTGAGAAAGTTGGAACATTGATCAAGGATCGAAACCCGCAGTGACCGTGTGGAGGTTACAACTCTTGCGTGATGGGCTGGACCGTTGGTGCACACGGGTACTAGGTCTATCATCATTGGGCCGACTGAGTCACCGTGACTTGATTCTCCCAGAAAATCTTGTGGGGTCGAGGCGTGGAGGGACTTTGGGGTCTGAGTCAGCCTTTTGGAACATTGAAATGGGGACTAATTGATGAAGTGTCCCTTGAGAGGCCTATAGAGATGTCATATACTCATATACTCCTATCTTTAAGAAAGTGGGGACAAAGCCAATCTTGCTTTGAGATTAGTGAGAAACACCGCAAATGAGATCGATCTTGGGTTCTCTTGTTTCGTCTCCCAAGGCCCGAAGGAAGTGAGTCACCAATCACCATCATCTTGAGTCAAGATGAGTAAGTCAACATTAGAAGTGTTGCTTCGTGTTAAAATAGCACAACAAAGTAAATTGAAATTTTAAGGTCGAAATTTCATACAAGATCTAAATCTCATATTACTATATTAGTAATGAAAGATACTACTGAAATAAATTTAGAACCCGTTTGGTAATACTATAATTGGCTGAAATTTATGAAGTTCTGCCTGAAGTGACTGTATTGGCTGATTCTGCTGATACAGCCAGAAAAGTAATGTCAACCTTACTTTTTCTGCTTATTACAAAATTCAGCGCGCGAAATCAAAAGTTACGTATTTGGTGAAAAAGCTGGTTGATAAGCCGAAAAAAGGGGTCACCAAATGGCTCTTATTTATAAAAAATATAACTAATAGTTACTGTAGTTTTGTCTCATAGTAACTTAAGTTTAAAATTTGAACATAAATAACTATGACTAAGTTATTACTTTAAGGCGTTCATAATTTTGTAAACAACACTTATTTAGTTATATATATGTAATAATCTGTTAACGAAATTACATGAATGAAAATCACAGATGATTATGAATCCACAATTATATCTATGTATTGTATACTTTCGTGGCTAGTCTGTGTATATAATATGATGAGGAGAAAATGTTTTATAGTCGAAAATCTCGTATACATGAATTAATTCCACTTTAGGTCCTCAGAGTTCTATGTCATTTCCATATTTAATTCTCGTCTTTCACTTTATCCATTTTTGGTACCTGACTATTGTTTTCTTGATCATTTCCGGTCAATTTCTGGGCATTTTTACTACCGGAAAAGGACTATATATGGTCAAGAAAACAAAAGAAAAGTACCAAAAATGGATAAAGTGGAAGATGGAGACTAATTGTGGAATTGGTGCAAAATTTGAAAGACCAAAAGTGGCATTTCTTCTCGTTTGCATAGTCCAAGGCGACCGCCCCCCTTGGACTATCAAAATTTTCTACTATATATATAATATTTTAATAAAATTTTCATACTCTAACTAGATTCGCCCCCCTTAACTTTTAGTTTCAAAATTAATATATAGCCTTACATAAGGTAATACCTACTTGGAAATTTAAAAGAAGGAACATCTAAAATAATTTAGATAACTTAAACAAATAAACAGAACAATTCATTGTTTAAAAGCTAGTCACGGTTATAAAGGGTTATAAAGGGTTATAGTCATAAAGGCACACTAGGTATACAGTCATAAAGGCAGACTAGGTATCTAAACTCCCAGAGTTATAAAGGGTACTAGTCATAAAGGCTAAAGGGTTAAATAGGTCGTTGAACTGACTTCAAGTGTTCAATTAGCCCCTTATATAGGAGGTTCTGCCCGGCCGTCGTTAATTGGGGCGGTTCTCGGTGGAATTTTTTGATAAAATTTTTTTAGCATCTTTTTCATTAAGTCTAGTTTACCCTTACCGAATTTCAGCTAAAAATTCAACCAGGAAGGCAGTCAAATGATTTTCCAAAATGTATTGCACTGTTTAACTTCACAGTTATCTTCAAAAAAACATTTGACTGCCTTCCCGGTTGAAGTTTTAGCTGAAATTTGGTATGGATAAACTAGACTTCATGAATAAGATGCTCAAAAAATTTCATAAAAAAATTCCACCGGGAACCGCCCCAATTGGCGACGGTCGGGAAAAACCTCCTATATAAGGGGCTAATTGAACACTTTAAGTCAATTCAAGGGCCTATTTGACCCTTTAGCCTTTGTAATATTTAATAGTCTTTATTAGATAACTCATAACTAGTACTCGATTTTGTAAAATATATATCAAACAATATTAAATATCAGACACACTAGGTATACAGTTTTTTGAAAATGTGAAGTGAAACCAAAATATACTCCGAAAATGTTTATTGCACTAAAAACAATTTATTGCATATATAATACTCCGTAAACTTTTACTTATTTTAGCATTAATACAACTATAATATGCACCATATCTACATGAATTAGAAATATAATATCATTATAAATATAATAATCTCATACATACTATTGTAATATTAAGAAAACTCATCATGACTCACAAACACCCTCTTTGATAGATAAAAAGTATTGATGGATGTGTGCCTTTTAAACTCTTTATCTTTAAATAATTGGATAAAATGTTATATATCCTTTTTTATTTTAAAATTATTTTCCTTTGATTTGTTGTTTCATATGTTATAACGTATAAATACTTGCTTCTAGAGCACTTCAATTATAAAATTGAAGTTATTTTGTCATTATCTAAACTCAAAATGTAGTAGATTGAAATGTCAACGTGCGTGTATCAATGATTTTTTTTTGAATAAAAATAGCCGCAAAGTTCTACACTATAAAGATGATGGTTGAGCCCGATTTTTAACCTTTCCACTACGGTGATGAGTGCTACAACGGCCGTGGAGGGGGCGCCTCCCCCCCCTCCTCCGACAAAAGGAGTGTGGGGAGCCAAATCTTTTGCTGCGGTGGTGAGTGGGGAGTCTGATCCTCCCTTCTCTTCGAAAGTGATCACTAGATTCAAAGGGTTGCCTTCAATTGCTTTCCCAGAAGAAGAAGCTCAGATTCTAACGGTTCAACAAAAAAGAGCGCTTGTGGGTTACTTCTACAAAGGTCGTCCTCCAATGGTGTCCCTTCGAAAAGCATTTGATCTGATTGGCTTTAAGGGCGTTTTCAGTCTTGGGATTATTGATCGTAAGCACATTTTA